TATATACCTACAATTTACATATACATATGTATAGATACTTTAATCTATGCATATGCTGACAATCAAAGGTGGAGAAATGTCTGCAAACTGTTTCAATTGACAAGTGCAATTCACAAATAACAAAAAGTCAGCTTCTATAAGAGTACGATATGAAGGGTTTGTGGTGAGCCAGCTCGACTGGCTTCAGCGTGAATGATCTTTTTCCACATACAGTTTATCCACAAGGCTTCGTACAGCGGAGGTTTGTGCAACAAAGGCTCGTCGAAGTGCAAAGTCTCCAACCTTGAGTGCACCCAGAGTGGCCGCAATGAATCCGTGTCTTGACATGGTTATTCCGGGACGGTCTCTAAATCTAAGTACACCGATGCCTATCGTATGAATATGTATCTCTAGTATATGTTTTGTTTACGTGCAATGGCGTAGCGAGCGTAGTATTAAGAGATAAAAGACACTCCCTCTAGTAGTCTCTGCTGTACACTTCTTGTGGATGGTGTATATCGGATATCCACCTCTCTTGTAAATGTGTATAAATACATCCTGCGGCTGCTAATAGTAGAGCGAGTTTAAACAAAATATTGATGTTTATTTATTGATTCCTTCCCACGCTCAAGCCTCAAGGGCCGAGTTTATAAGGTCATTTGAACCAAGTTTTTTTATTCCGCAATAGACAGAGACTCAGTTTCGCATCCATGCATAAAACGTAAACGCTGAAGAAAAAAAATACAATTATGACATGACTCATGACCCTTGGGCCTCGGCCTCTACATACGACAAAATAGAAATTTTAAAAAAAGTTTTTTTAGAACGGACAAAAGTCTGTAGGATATTTCATAGCCTTCTGATTTTTTATAAAAAAACAAAGTATTTTTATATACGTTTTTAACGTAGTATGTACGAATGAATATCTCACCCGAGAATTAAAGCTTGAACGTCTAAAAAGATTTTAACGTTTCAAAAAACGAGAAACGAATTGAAATATAAAAAAGGTGGTAAATAGAGGTTCGAAAATGGGCCATTGTACATCAAGAGACTTAAGTAATTTCCCAGGACGTCGGATCGAAGCCGACTGCAGCCGACTTTTTTTTTCCACTTTGTATTAGTTCATGGGATTAATACATATAAACGTCGGCCAATACGACAATATTAAGAAAACACAACTTATGGCATTCGCCCGTCAAGCTCTTCGTACAGTTTAGTGATATTGCTATTTAGCTGCAGGCAGTTGCTGGTTATAAGTTCATAGTGGTCTGATGGCATATCGGTGCATATAAGTATTCGCACCCATAGCGCAAACAGTTAGGAAGGAAAGCCTGCACCATGATGTGTTGATATATTTTATATCAGCTAATAACCAAATAAGGACATACTTTCATAGATAATAGCCATTTTACTGTATATTCAACTTAATACATCATCGCAAACAGTTAGGAAGGAAAGCCTGCACCATGATGTGTTGATATATTTTATATCAGCTACTACCCAAATAAGGACATACTTTCATAGATAATAGCCATTTTATTGTATATTCAACTTGGGATATGCACATAAATAGAGCTACACTTTAATTGGTGAACCCTGATGTGTACCATACAGCTCTACGTACTATACAAGTTCACCAACTTACAACTCCATTTACTACAGACAGCTCTATTTATTCTAATCAACAAGGACGGGGACAAGGGATTGTGCGCTATTTACGACATGTACTATTTATATATTGAATATTCATATATCAAATCGTGTCTTATGTGACACAGTTAGGACAGTAGAACGTCTGTATGTGGTGCTCGTGGCCATTTGTGTGACTTCTCGGCTCCTCACGGATGTACATGTGGTTTTCGGTGCATTTCAGACACAGCACGCAGGTACATATGTTGCACTCTCGCACATTCATTGTCTTGTGGTTAATGTGGCACGACTGGCACTTCAGAATAGGCTCAACGCTGGAATAGGCAATGGGAATGAAGCAAATGAGATGATTTGGCAACTACCCGAATGAGACATTGAGGTTGAATGTGTATTTAACAGGGAATGTATATAGTGTGATGTAGAGTGCACGGAACACATGTAATGAGAGACGTAGATAGAAACACTGGGCAGTGGCGGACTCAATATATCGAAATGCAAATAGGACCCCGACTTTCCACCCAACAAGCCAATGTCATCGACACTACAACATCCGTAGCGATATGTGAACCATTTACAAAGTGCACAGGAGCCTACATCGGAGCCTGGTACAGAGCTGTACTCGGGCAGAGAATTATAAGCGGCAGCGGTTGGAAAGTAGATGACCAACACGTGCATGTAAGCATTCGTAGAGGCACACAACTCAAAAGCCATCGCTACTTTCACACGTACTGCTCAACAACCCCGCTCTGAGTGAAACGGGGCCAATGAATTATACCAGATCCACCCGTTCGTGCGACATTCTAGACACGCTTGGCCGGACTTTACCTATCTTGCGTCTCCTACGTTCAAGCACTGACACACCCAAGGCCTTCGATATGACCAAGTACATCTCACACCTCACGATATATGTGCATCACACACTACACGCGCCCGCAACCACATGCCTATTCAAGTCAATGCCCTTGCGGACATCCCTCCCATAGAAGAGCAGGTTCTTGACTCGGTTCCTGTCTTCGGCATTCTCGCACTTGCTGAACAGGACCCTCAAACACTCTCGGTTAGGTCTGTATTCCCGGTTAAAGTGGTGCAGCACCTCTTCGTATATTAACAACGCGTCTTTAGGGTATGATGGCGCGGTGGTCTCAATGATCCTCGCATAGTCCAAGGGATGTAATACCACCCTGAGTTGCGCCAAGGAGAGAAAACGTTAAATACGTCAGGTTGAAAGGTAGTGATAAGACACTTTAGGGTATGAAGGAGCGGTGGTCTCAATGATCCTCGCATAGTCCAAGGGATGTAATACCACCCTGAGTTGCGTCAAGGAGAGAAATCGTTAAATACGTAGTGATAAGACATGTCTCCAAACGATGGGGGCACGTACGAGTATACATATCAACTGAAAATAAAATCGTCCAAGCGATATCAGACCTCCATACGTTGCGACAGTAAGATAAAACGTTAAATCCATCAATATGGAAGGGTAGTAAGTAGGAAATAAGATAAAACGTTAAATCCATCAGTTTGGAAGGGTAGTAGGAAATAAGATAAAACGTTAAATCCATCAGTTTGGAAGGGTAGTAGGACGATGCGTCTTGTAACGATAGGGACGCGTACAAGTACAAAAAAAACAACAGCACTTAACTATCGGTATATACGGACAATACAATTGAAGTTAAGAGACTGTTCGTGGCGAATACACAAAACAATACACATATATGAGAATATAAGAACAAGTACAACCGTGCAAATATTACATAAGAATATGACCCAAAATTTCTATTGCCACACGCCTGCAATCACAACACTTGCAGAACCTTTAACGTCAAGGCAAAGCGGCAGGAATGACTGCGTGTTAGGTACAGACGCAGAAGGCGATGCGAACATACCCTCTTTCCCGAATCTGATCATAGATGGACAAAATAAAATCTGCGCATTCCGGCTTTTTGTATAAAGGCACCAGAGTGGCGTGATAGGTTCGTGCGCTCGGTTCGATTCCCTGAATGAATAATAATAATAAGATCTTTCGTCACCATGACAACACAACAGTTTTCGAGGCTGGACATATGGTTTGAATTCTATTACATGACATAACACCAATGGCGACAAAGCCCGAGTAGCGGCCTGGCGCATACATACGCTTCGACAAATTCTTAGATCATACTGGTTTACGTACACTACTGATGCAGTGCACATGTATATATAAATATAC